ACATGACTAATGTGAAAATACATTTAATAGGAATGTACATGTAGAGCCTATATCAGACTGCATGCCATCTTGGGGAGAGAGGAAAGTAGGGAGGGTGAGAAAAATTTTAAACTCAAAAGCTTATGGAAGTGAATTAAAACTAACAATAAATTAATAAAATAAAGTTTAAAAAAACTTGTCCCAGTTTGGCCCCCTCCCTGCTTTCCAGCCTTCTTCTACCTGACTCTATACCAGCTCCACTGGCCTCCTGGCCGCTCCTCTGCCTCCCGAGTGGGCATTTTTACTGGCTGGCCCCCATGCCCAGAATGCTCTCCTTCCTCACTTCCAACTCCTAATTATCCTGGCTCCCTTTAAGAGGCAGCTCAAACCCCACTTACTGCCAGGTGACCTTCCCAGGTCTCTGCTAAGCAAACTCTCTCTCTCTCTCTCTATTCTGTCTAGATTTTCTATGTACCTAATTGTTTTTTAATTAAATTTTGTTTAAGAGCCATCTCCCCTCCCCCTCAACGAGAAGGCAAAAACAAAAAACCCAGTTGCAAGCAAGTATAGTCAAACAAAACAAATTCCCAATTGGCCATGCCCAAAAAAGTACACCTCAATCTGCACTGAGTCCATCACCTCTCAATAGGACAGATGCAGAAGCAGATGATCAACTGTGAATGACGTAGCTCTTCTCAGCCATACAATGATCTAAGACGATTCCAAAGAACTCATGATGAAAAATGTTATCCACCTCCAGAAAAAGAACCAATGGAGTCTGAATGCAGATTGAAGCACTCTATTTTTCACTTTATTTTTTTTAATTTGGATATCTTGTCTTCTTTCACAACATGACTAATGTGGAAATATGTTTTGCATGATGGCATGGGGGGATGGGAATTTGGAACTCAAAGTTTATTTTAATGAATGTTAAAAATTGTCTTTACATGTAATTGGGGGGGACAAAATTATTATTTACAGAAAATAAATAAATAAAGCACCTGGATAAAAAACAGAATGCAGCCATCCAGTCTCAACACAAGTCCTTTGGCATTTTAGTTGGTCATTACGTGGAGCAGAGCTCCTAAGACTTTCAAAGTTGTCTATCTTTACAGTACTGTTGCTATTGTAGAAACTGTTCTCCTGGTTCTGCTCACTTCATTTGGCATCAGTTCACGCGGGTCTTCCTAGGTTTCTCTGGAACCTTCTCTCTCTTTAGCACTTCTTACAACACCCAGCATACATCCCTAGGCATCTCCCTGCTGTTTTCCTTCAAACGGGCAGAGATGGTTTTTTGCCATGCCTCCGTGTCTCCAGCACTCAGTACAGCGCCTGGCACGTGGTAAATGCCTACTGACTAACACTCTGAAGGGTCAGGGTACAGCACGTAGACGTCTAAGTAAATCCACTTACCACGTGCCATCTCATCCTGTAACTATTCCCCTTCTCTCCCCACCCCACCCCACCACGCTACGACATTCACTGGTTCTCCCAGTACCTTTACAAGGCTACTTGGTCATCTAGATTACATTACCAGCCCAACATATGAAACACTAGCTTATCTCAAGAAGCCTGAGGGCGAGGACATATGCCTTAGGCTTTAAGATTTCAGCTTTCCATACATTCTCCAATTGGATGCTTACAACACCAAATTGAAGTGTTAGGATCCAGGTCTCAGAGACTAGAAAACTCAGACTGAGGCAAGGCAAGGTGCTTGCCCATGGTCCAACAGTGAGGACAAACCAGAGACCCACACTGGCCCCAGCTGCGTCCCGTGCACTCTACAGACACCACCACAAGCGTTCTACACGCCTCTTTCTACAAGGCCTCAGCCCAATGCTTTGTACAAGACTGGGGCAAAACAAACAGCTGTTGAGGGGACGACCTGAAAGAAATGGAAGAACATCTGGAAATGACGCAGCTAGGTGCTTACTGGAGAGAACAGGTCGGTGGCTGAGTTCAGACTCTGTGACCCCCCCCCACCAATAGGGGCTTCTGACCAAACAGGGAGCATTCAGATCCATCTTCCTAGGCTCCAAGTGCATGCCCTGCCCCCACTTCTAACCCTAGCTCTGAGAAGAGAAACCAACCAGATGAACCATCGGAAAGCCTGGCTCCTTGGCCACTCCTCTCCTCGAGGAAGAGTCTGCCTTACTTGTATTTAATGTGTCCCCAGTGCTTGGCACAGAGCCAGGCCAACAGTAAGCACTTAGATGCTTTTTCATTCATAACTGCTAAAGTTCCTCTTTAAAAAACAGTAATTTCCTTATCATTCCCTTATTGCTAACTCATGGTTCTAATTTCTCTATTTCTGTGGCTTCTCTTGAGATAACAGGTGAGAAGGGCAGTTTAGGAGAGCTACGGGTTCTCCCATTCCCTCCACATTCTCCTCTGCCTGAAAGAACTTCTAAGCCACGGAGACGCCCAGTCCAGGGACCTTTCTTTCCTTCTGTAGAAGGCTCTGAAGTTAGCATCGTATCATAGAAAGTGAAATGCACATGGAGCCCAAAGGTGCCCAGAGAGCTTCCCAGGACAAGGGCTCTTGGTGAAGAGCCCCAGGCAGTCTCTCTCCATCAGTTCAATGGGCTCCTGCAGTGGCCAGGGACAGCTTTCCAGAACGGAGGCTACGGAGGAGAGATGGGGAGGGCTGGAGGTGGATCTGTCCAGCACATGCCGCCTCCCATCTCACCCCAGGGTGCCCGACTGTTTCAGGACCTGGGCATGGCAGTTGCTGGGGATGACTGGCCCCTCATTACAGAGGCGGCTTCCCCCAAAGCAGGACTGTAGATCTGGGAGGTGCCACCACTCGCAGGGTTCTTGTGCCTTTCTGACAGTTGGCGACAGTTGCTCAGCAATTGCTGCTGGTGGCAAGGAGGAGGAAGGTGGGCCCCTTCTCCACGAGGACTGTTGCCCTCAATAGTGGCTCGGGGGATGGGCTCAAGCCAGTCAGGGCAGTCTGCCATTCCCTGGGCTCTTGGGCTCAGGGTCCTGGGTTGTCTCCATTGAGGTCTAAGGGGAGATGGTTGGGTAGAATATTCCTTTTCTGGTATGAGCTAAGATGAGGTCACTGAGATTCCTTCCCCCTCTAAAATCTTAGGACTGATTAGGGAGGGGTTAAAGGGAAAGCGGCTAAACTCTCGAGGATGACAGAACCACAAGGGTTTAGCTGGGAATGTGAAAGGGGCTCTGGGTCTTGGCCTGGTGGATAAACTGAGGGACTTGGAATTGGGAAGACCCCAGCTGCAATCCTGCCTCAGTCATTTAATAGCTATTTGTACGATCCTGGGCAAATCACTGCCCCTTGGTGCCTCAGTTTCCTCAACTGTAAAATGGAGATAATGACAGCATCTACCTCTAGGCTAGATCAAATGAGAGAATATGTAACGCCCTTGACAAGTCTTCAAGTGCTAGAAAAACACTAGGTGGTATTCTCAATAATCATGGGACAGCCACAGCTAGGACCTTCTCCTCGCCAAAGCCTAGTCACTGCCACTGTCACAACCACCTCTGCACCCCCTCACCTCTGCCAGCTTCCTGATGGCCACCCAAGCCAGCACTGGCACAGGAAGGGCGGCCTGCCATCCCCTGTACCTGGTTCCTGCTGTCCTGGGCACCGTGGCTCCCTCCCCCCACCCAGCCTGGCACTGCCCCCCCAAACCTGGTTCTTGCTGTCTGGGGCACCATGGTCCCCTCCCCCACCCAGCCTGGCACTGCCCCCCCAACCTGCTGACTGCCACGAAGGAGGTGGGGCTAGCTAATGGCCAAGGTTCCTTCCAGCTCTAAAGCCTATGTAATCTAACTTGTCCAGAGTCACAGAGTTCAGACAGAGACCTCCTTCTACTACAGGGGCTGCCCTAAAGTGAGAAGGTTCACAGCGAAGGCAACGATGCCCTCCCATGGGAACCACCTGAAAACTGTGCTTGGGCTCCCAGACCTCTCACCTCCTGCCCACACCTCAAAATCCAGCCAGCCCAGAGGAGAGGAAAAGACCTTCCCAACCCGGCTAACGAGTCTTGGTGGGAGCTGGGAGGGAAGACAGGACCCTGGAACTCAAAGGAAAGCGACCAGGATGAAGGGCCTGGATGTGTGGAGGAGGATGCTGGGCAGAAAACGGGGAAAATAGCAGCTGTCCTCCCTCGTGAAGGGCTGGCACCCAGCAGAAGGCTGGTGACCGGATCTGCTCCGCCCAGAGGGCAGGAGGGAAGACAGGGAAGAAGTCCCCCGCAGAGACCGAGCTCTCCAGCGGGAGGGCAAAGCCTGAGGCTTCTGTCACCTGCTCCACGCATGGGGACCAGCGCCCAGGTGTCACTGCTCCCCGTGGCACCAGCGTCCCTCATCTGGGACCCGGACCACACGCCGCCCCCCCAAAGTGGCCCGGGGGTCATTCCTTGGCCTCCCGCCTCTGCCTAGCCTAGGGGTCCCCAAGCCTCGCGTGCAAACCCCACCCCCATGCAAGCCGGGCTCATGCCACGCGCTTCCAGGGTGCCCCCAGTGCCCCGCAGGGCCGGGGGCAGCTCGCCTCCCTTCTGCCTGGCTCCGGCCCCCAGCAGCGGCCCCGCCTCGCATACAGCAGGTGCATACTAAGTCCTGGCCCACAGAAAGCCCGACGCGGCCGAGACGCTACAAGTGCGAAGGCCCCGCGACGGGGCTCCGAGGTCACGAACTTGGTGACCCCCGGGGGGTGGCCTCTGCTGCGGGCCGAGGTCCACAGGTGACCTGGGAGGGCAAGGCCGGGGAGGGGGCCTGACGCTCGGAGATCCCCGGCTAGGCCGTGACCCCCCCAAGGTCACCGAGGAGGGGGAGGGCACCAAAGGGGGGGGTCGGAAATCAGACGAGCGCGCCCCCGCCCCAGGCCCGCCCAGCCGCCCGCCTGCACCCATCCATTAGGTGCCTGCTGTGTGCCCGCCCCAGGGCAGCCCCCCCCGCCCCCTTCCCCTCTCTGCGGGGGGCCCGGGGGGCAGGGGAGGGGCGAGGGCGCCCCGGGCTCGGCCTTCCCGGCGCCCGGCCCAACTCACACTCACCCGGCTCCGGCTCCGCTCGCTCCTTCGCTCGCCCCGGGCCGAAGCCGCCTCCTCAGCCCGAGCCGCGAAGATGCCGCGACCACAGACAGCCACCTCGGCCGCCTCTGCCTCCTGGGGGCGGGGCCTAGCGGGGGCGGGGCGGGGCGGCACGTGACCGGGGGGTTCCCCGCGCCGCGCACGCGCCCTGGGCCCGCGGCTGTCTTGGCCCCAGATGGGGAGGGGCGGGGCGAGGGGGGGAGGACGAGGGGGAGAGGGAGGGGGAGGAGAAAAGGGAGAGCGTGGGGGAGAGAGGAGGAAGCTGTGAGAGAGGGCGAAAGAGAGCGGAGAGGAGGAAAGAGAGGGAAGGAAGAGGAGGGGGAGGGTGAAAGAAAGAAAGAGAGGAAGGGAGGGAAAGAGGGAGGGAGGGAGAGAAAAGGAGGAGGAGGAGGGATGGAAAGGAGAGAGGAGAGGGGAGAGGTGGGAGGAGGAGAAAGAGGAGTGGTGGGAAGGGGAGGGCATGGGATGGAAGAGGAAGGAGAGGGTGGGAAGAGGAGAGAGGGAGGGAGAGAGGAGGAAGGACAGAGAGAAGAGAGGAAGGGAGGGAGAGAGGAAGAGGAGGGAGAGAGGAAGAGGAGGGAGGGGGAAGAGGGAGAGAAGGGGAGGGGGAGGGGTGGGAAGGAGATAGGGAGGGGAGATAGAGGGGAGGGGTGGGAAAGGGAGAGAAGAGGAGGGGAAGGGGGAAAGAAAGAAAGAGGGAGGGAGGGAGAGAAAAGGGGGAGAAGGAGGAGGGATGAAAAGGAGAGAGGGAGGGGGAGAGGTGGGAGGAGGAGAAAGAAGAGTGGTGGGAAGGGGAGGGGATGGGATGGAAGAGGAAGGAGAGGGGTGGGAAGAGGAGAGAGGGAGGGAGAGAGGAGGAAGGGGACAGAGAAAAAGAAAGGGAGTGAGGAGGAGGAAGGAGAGGGAGAGATGGGGGAGGGGAGGAGAAAGGAGCAGGGAAGAGAGAAAGGAGGAAAAGGAAAGATTGAGAGGAAAAGGGGGAAAGACAGGGTAAGAGAGAAAGGGAAATCATAACTAACACATCAAGGGCTTAAAGTCTGCCCAGCACTTTGCACCTATTCTGTCTCTTGATGCTAAGAGAAGGCAAGGGTCATGGGTCAGAACTTGGAAATACCATGTCTGAGAGCAAAGCTGAGCTTGGGTCTTCCTGACCCAGGCCCAGCCCTGTCTCCATTTCACCACCAAAGGGGCCAGAAACTGCCCTCCTTCAGAAGAGATTAGGCAGAGTGGAGGAGGGATCTGTTTCTTCTAGGACAAGGAGGGCAGACAGGGCAGATGTCCCTTCGAACAAGAAAAGGAGAAGGAAGGGAGGTGAAAGGAAGGATGGGACAGATGGGGGTGAGGGGCAGACACAGCTATCCAGCCCGTCAGCCTCTTCCTCCCTCCCTGGTTTCTTGTTGACAGTATCTTCAATAAAGCACCATAAACCAAAGACATGGGAGAAAATTGTGAGACAAAATGGGAGATCTTCATTTCATCCTGAGGGCTGGAGCCTGGAAGCTTTGTGGTATGGGGGAGAAAGCACTGGTTTTGGAGTCAGAGAACCTGAATTCAAATTCTGCCTGGACAAATCACCTAACCTCTTTCACTCAGTTTCTTCTTCTGTGGAATGATAATGTTGGACTGTGCTTGAATCAGGTGAAATCGTCATTGGGAAATATTTAATAAAATTCTAATCCAACACAGATAAAGTGCAGGTCAACATGCTGCCCCCCGCCCCAGGGACCCATCAGTATGGTTTAGCAGCCCCTGTTCTAGGCTAGGGGCCCCTTCCATCTCTTCACTTGTAAGCCTGTGAACATGAACAATTCTTATTTCTCAGATATTCAAAGGGATCTGAGATCTCTCCTCCAACCACACAAGTCGCCTCCCCTCAATAGCTGTCCTACCCGACCATTCTTGTCCATGGTCTCTCAAAGAAGACAGGCAGGAGCCCTGGGTATGGCAGTATCCCCTGGACCCCCATTCGTTCCCACTTTAAGCCCAGCCTAGCCAAGCATCCCCCAAGGAAGCAACTCCTATGGAGAAAGAGCCAGTCATCTCTATCCAGTGCCAAGCAAGCTGACCCAGCTGGAGCTGCAAGGCACTGTGAGGGAGAGAGGAGGCAGCAGGTGCCAGGCAAGGCAGGTCATCACTCTCACCACTCTGACCACCATGTGTCCCTCAGACCCTGGTGGGGACAGTCCAGGACCCTGATCCTGAGAGCCCTAAGGAGAGTGACATTAAATCATTAAATTAAAAGTCTTTGCACCCTAAACACAGCCAGGACCTTCCATATGTGTTGTCTCCCCATTAAAAGGTGACTCTCTGAGCACCATCTCACTTTACTATTACATCTCTAGCACTCAGCATAGTGCCATGAACCCAGTAAACACTTCGTACGTGCTTTACTCATTCAAAGTCTGCCACAGGGCAGGGGCTCCTCTCAACCTGCTGGAGGCCTCCCTTACTTTCTCCCAACATCTCCAGGGTACCAGTGGAAGGGACCTGGATGTCCACTTGCCATGTGACAAGCCCACCTTTCTCTTCACATCATACAATTCCTCCATGACTTCCTTTATTCCTGTTCTTCAGATGTTGGTCACATGTTATAGCCCGCTTACACCAACCGTCTCCAAAGATGCATGCATACATCTCATTGCCATGTAGCAGCAGCACTTTTCCATGTTCGTATGGGAAGGATGGACCTTGGCTGAGTTCAGTAAAGAGATCTTTGCAATCTGTCCCAAACAATCCAGGCCTCTCTCCCTCCTTTTCAACTCCGGGCCCAGCTCCTCATCTCTTTGTACCACTTATAAGGCTGGTCCGGTTGTGCGGGGTGCTCATTTCTCACTCAGCTGCACCACTCCAGGACTTCTTTGATTTCTCCTTGGACCCTTGGAGGCTCATTGTTGGGGAAACGTCATCTTGTGAGATCCCAACAGCCTTGGGATTCTACTCTTCACGAGCCTGGTCCCTCTGATTCAAGGGTGGAGCATGGAACTTAACACCTGACACCTAGTAGTCCTGAATAGAAGTTGACTAATTGATTGATTGATTAATTGATTGAATGATTGCAGCCATGAGCTCTAAAACCTCCATTTAAGGAGGAAGTTCAGCTCAGATATCCCCTCAATTTCTGCCCTGGCTGCATTGCTTTGGGACTTCTCTACTTCTCTACTTTTTCCACCATGCCCCCACTTTCGATACCTCCCCCAGTTCCTTTTTCTCCCTTCTCCCTTATCCCCTTTTCTGGTCCTTTTTTTATGTCTTCCATCATTTTAGACTATAAGCTCCTTGAGTGTAGGGATCTTTTTTCCTTTTTTTGTATTTGTTTCCCTAGTATTTAGCACAGTGCCTCACACATGGTAGGCACTTAATAAAAGGGGTTTTTTTTGACTGACAGGGCATCCATCCAAATGCATGCCGATGTGTGTAATAGACAATCTTCATCCACTTAGTTTTCCTCATCGGATGGTCATGCCAAATTCTTTTGAGAGATTATAGGTTTCTTCTTCTTCTTCAGCGTTTTGGGCCTTGATGTCTCCAGGAAAGAGGAACACGTAGAGGACCTACACAGATTCTGCACCATATCTCCTCCATCATAGGATACGCAAGGTACCATCTCCTCCTGACCAGACTCTCAAAATTCTGCCTGCTCCTGCCTGGACAGAAATTGCACTTCCATTCACTCCACTGTGCATGGGCAGCTGGTTTCAGCTCCATGGAACCAGATGCTCCTGAGCAGGGTACCCCTAGCTTCCACCCCACCTTCCCAGCTTCCTTTTATCCCTTGTCTTCCCTCATTAGACTGTAAGCTCCTTAAGGGAAAGAATTGTCTTTCCTTTTCTTATTTGTATCCCCAAGGCTTAGCACGGTGCCTATAGCAGGCACTTAATAGATGTCTATGGAATTGAAGGCCACCTGGGGCCTCATAAGGCACCATGTCATTATTTACCATGAGACTGGATTTCACACAACAGTCAAACTCCATTTCTCCTGTAATGAACCACACATAACCACTAATACTCTGCTTAGACAAATACCCCTGTGAGTAGCATATTCCTAACCCCTGCATCCTCCTTATCCCAGAGGTTCTAGTGTCCCCAGCTACCAACATACAAACCCAGTCCCCCAGGGCCAGCTCCCTTACTTCTGTCTAGCACAGCCTTCCCCCCTCAGTACCCCCACTCTATATCTGCCTGCCCCTTCCACTGTGAATGAACGAATGAAAGAAGGCAAAAAAGCATTTATTAAGCATTTGCTATGTGCAGCGCACTAGGCTCACTGCTAGGGGTAGAAAGAGGAAAGTAAGACAGACCCTGCCCTCTGAGAGCTCACGTTCTAATGGGGGAGACCACACACAGCCGGTTCCAGCTGCAAGTCAGAAGGAAAGGTCCCATGGTTCCTAGTGTAGAGCAGAAGAACACACGGTCGGGCCTCATCTTCACCGATGAAATGAGATCCGTGTCTGATAGAGAACCAGTATTTTTGTTCTGTTCTGGGTCTGCAGCTCCTACAGGAACAGCTGCCAGGCTGCATCTCAGAAGGGATGGCTTCCCAGGATGATAGCTGTGAGCACAGGGTTGGAACCACGGCTACTTCCAGGACCCTCGGGGCCAAGGGCATTGGACCATCTTCATTACGATGTGATGGTGCAAGCCACAGCTGTGCAACTTCCTCCTGGCCGGTGGAGATGGACGCGCTGCCCTGCATGAGGGGCAAGGTGGAGCTGGGGAGGATGGGAGGGTGCCAGGCTTTTTTGTAAGTTTACTTCAAGTCGCTTTGGATGCTTCTGGCTTCCCATTTCAAGGGAGAAGATGGTAGATGCCAACTTCACTTCAGGTCACTGAAGGAGAAAACTCTGGGAAGAAACTAACAAGAGACGAGCGGGCAGTGTCCAGCATGGCCCTATCCCCAGCTTGCAGCATTAGAAACTGGGAAACCTCCCCTTGGGCGAGCTCTCAGGCTTCATCTCTTGGTCGAACTGAGCTGCCTTGCTTCTACTGGGAGACTTCTTTCATTCTGTAGGGTCTGGTATATCGTCTCCTCTGCGTGCTTCTGACTTGGGTTTGCTTCTGATTTGGACAAATGGGCATCTTGGCTAA